GCAATGATATCGCGAATATTATGATCAGATGTGCAAAGAAAATTATTCCCCGAGGCAAAACTAAAAACTATCGATTGATTTAGTCTAAACACCTTGAGGAACTGACAAGAAAGTAGGACGCCCTTCGTAACACTGCTGATCAGGCTGGAAGAACAGAAGACGTACAAGCCTGGAGACGACAAACAGCTGTCCTAAGGCAAGCCATCTTACAAGCAAAACGGACTTCCTTCGACAAGTTCATCTCAAATATCAACTATCAAAGTGATAGTCAACGCACTTTCAAGTTCCTGGGTAACTTCCAAAACAACAGAGAAAGACTCAAGAAAGAACCAATAGGTTTTAAAAACAAACTGCTTACCATCGACTCCGAAATAGCTAAGTACTTTGCAAGGTTCTATTCCCACAAGCAAAAGAAAAACATTTTGTCAGGAAATCTTCAAGAGATTTAAAGATATAAGTAAGACAGTTTGGTGAAACTAAGGAAGACACAACAATACTAAATAATGTACTTACTGAACCATTCACACCTTGCGAATTTAATGCTGCTATAAAACAGCTCAAGTGCAAGAAGTCTGCTGGCGAAGACGGAATTCATCCGAAATTTCTAATTAAAATGGAACCAAAAGAGAAGGAAAAGATTCTGACGATTTTCAATAAAATCTGGGAGACCAGTCTCGTTCCTAACCAATGGAAAGTTGCCATAGTTATACAGTACTAAAGAACGGCAAAGACCCTCACAAGCGTGCTGGCTAAACTTATGGAAAGAATGGTTAACAGAAGACTGATCTGGTTCCTTGAGACTAACAATATTCTTAGGAGTGAACAAGCAGGTTTTAGGCCGCAAAGATCAACTAACCAACAAGTAGCCACTTTCTCCCAACACAACAAAGATGCCCTTGATGCACGAAATACCCTTACGGCTGTTTTCGTCAATTTCAAATCAGCATATGACTCAGAGTGGAAAGAGAAGCTAATTCTAAAATTTTCGAATATTGGTTATAATGCACAACAGGTTAAACTGGATAAAAACATTCATTGGACAAAGATCATGTGAAGTCCGATATGTAAGCGCTCTGTCCAAATCCAATCTTTACAAACAGGCCTTCAACAGGGAGCTGTCACATGCTGCACTCTTTTCACTCCACAGGAAGCTGTCACAACCTGCACTCTTTTCAATGTCCTCACAATGACATAGCCGAATTGGTACAGACAGTCACGGGCATCAAGTGCAATAGCCAATTGGTACAGACAGTCACGGGCATCAAGTGCTTACTTTATGCAGATGATCTGTGCTGTGGTATTCTGCCCCTAAGAATAACGCTCAGGAGAAAGTGCCCTAAATTGTGCACTTAAATTACTAGCAAACTTGATTCCGCCCCTAGGAAAAACGCTCAGAAGAGGACAGAAAGCCCCCAAACTAAGAAAAACGCTAAGGAGAGGACAGAAAGTGCTCTTAGGTGTGCACTCAAAATAAGAACTGGTGCGACAACAATGGAATGGTAATCAACACCGCAATACTGCATGCGACAACAATGGAATGGTAATCAACACCGCAAAACTGCATTCCAAACATTTCCTTTCGCCCGTCACAGCATAAACCCGCTTCTTAGGTACAAGGATACTACCCTAGAAAGAACCAATGAGTTCACATTATCTCGGAATGACGTTTAACACAAAGCTAACGTGGAAAAGTCACATTGCTAAAATAGTAGAACGAATCTCCAATAGACTGGATGTACTGAGGCGTCTTGCTGGTTGCCTATGGGGCCTGTAGCGCTCAACTCTAGGACCACTTAACAAGATGTTTATTTAGCCAATAATGTTGTATTGCTGTGAAATATTCAGCCGTTTCAACACCACTTACAAGATGTTTATTCAGCCAAAAATGTTTTATTGTTGTGAGCCACTCATTACAGCCACAGAGGTGACTCTCGAACGACCGCCACTCATTACAGCCACAGAGGTGACTCTCAAACCACTCAAGAACTCATTACAGCCACAGAGGTGACTCTCAAACCAATACGAGAAGGCACACAACCAAGCATTACGACTAATTACTAGAGGAATAAATCAACACCTATTGATGCAATGCTCCTAGTTACAGGAAGTGCCAGGCTCCCTTATCAAAGAGGGCCTTGATCCTGTATGAGAAGCTACTGCACATTCCCATGTCCTTGATCCTGTATGAGAAACTACTGTGCATGAAAAGGCCTTGATCCTGTATGAGAAACTACTGCGCACTCATTGGACAATGTATGAGAATCTACTGCGCATTCCCATGGATAAGTTCTTCCAGCACCTATGAGAATAGACCAAGACATCTGAAAACGCAAGCTGCAAATACTGTACATTCCCATGGATAAGTTCTTCAGCACCCATGAGTCAATCTGGTCTAATACTAAGTATAGAACTGAAGAAAGAATTACAAATCGATGACAAACCAAAAAGTGAAGAAAGAATTACAAATCGATGACAAACAAAAAAGCCCCTCTCTACCCATGAACCCATTATCAGACACTGATTTCTCTACCCATGAACCCATTATCAGACACTGATTTAATGTGTTGCACCCAACTGCTTGACTTCTTCAGGAAATCAAACACCCCGCCAGAGCAAATGCGTTCACTGACCCCATAAGACATTCAATGTCAACCATCCTGCAAATCAGTGGCTCCAAGTCTTCACTGATGGGTCATACATGAAAAAACAATCAAACGTTGGTGCATGGACCGGCCGATGTCCTACCACGCAATGAAGGCCTTAATCAGGAGAGAATTCCATACCTCAAGTTGCAACGAACTTAAAACTCAAACAAAAGAGAAACAGTGGACAGTGGCACTCTCCGACATAGCCGACTGGCCAAGAATCGAAGCCGTTGGTGAGTTTAGACTACTTACCAGACACGATTACTTGGCAAAACACCTTCACAGATTGGGAGTGTACACTCAACCTCCATGCACCCTATGTAACCTACAGGAGGAAATGGAGAAGACCCTCCTGATTCGGTGTCCAGCTCTAAAGAAAACGACGGAAAGAAAGAGATACTGGGAAGCAAGAATGAAGCTTTCGAACTGCTATTGATTAACTGCTATAAATGTACCCCCCCCCCACCCTTGAGGGAAGCTGAAGTCAAAGTTTAAGGGCTAATGATAAATATCATAAAGCCTGCCATTTGAAATAAATAAATGAATAAATGCTTCCTTTTACGAATAAAGAGACAACCTGATTCCATGTGAAGTCGGATTGCGTAGATCTTCCTTGACTTCCCTCCTACTCTGCTTCAACTTCATGTCGAACTGTTCAACTTACTATAACGATTTTCTTTTCCCACTTGATTAAAATTTTTATATAATTCCAGCCGATGAGTACATCATTTTTCAAGGCTGCAAAACATACCTTATCCACAGTGAGTAAAGCTGAGTAATACATCACAAGGCGATAATACGAGGAAAATGCGAAATGAAGTTTTAGCATTAATCTGGGCCCGTCTCTCACGATAGTTATATCGGACTTTATAATTTCTATTCTCAATAAGTAAATCTGATCTCAATGTAAAGAGACAATACACTCGACATCACTACTTGTCCTTTCATACCACCTATCCTCCCATTAGTGTGTGTGTGCGTGTGTGTGAAAGTACGTTTTCCATTGGAAAATAAGAAATAGCCTTAGAAGAATCCGCTAAATATGAAAAGAAACACTCTTTTTGTTGAGAAATTAAATTAATAAATTGAAAAGAGTGTGTGACGTTGGGATTTACCTTGGATGGTTATGTTGTAAACATTTTTGAAACGTCATTTGTTGTTACATGACCCATCGAAGGGATGCCTAATTTCTTTATTCTCTATCGGAGGCCTTATCAATCGTTCCTAGCCCAAGGGCAAATAGAGCATATGCTTTGAATCGCTATGTTTGTGGTTATGGGACTCTGCACACAAAATCAAGTCCGTAAAACATACCCTTTGTTTACACTAGCCATGCAGTGACTATCGATTAAATGCTGGCTGATTGGGCTCCACAATCACGGCGCACTTGTGCTTCCTAACGCAATCGGCAACAATTTTCATTGTTCCTCATAACTCAATTACCTGTGATTAAAGGTGGAAACAAATTTTGAGCCAACTTAATGTGGAAAATCTAAATATTTATCACCTTTATTGACCTCTTGCCTTCCAATAAATGCCAGACAGAGTAGGTGGAGGTGATTACCAGGAACCACTAAAACACGAAAATATCGCATTTGAGGCCACATGGAAGGCAAAACTGCACTGCCTGATGCCTGTCAATCACAGGAAGCCTTAGTAGACGCAGGTTTCGTGAGATCGCTTTGTCTCTCAAATGTCGTCAAATTGACCTGATTCAGGAATGGCCAGAAAATTAATATTATTATCATTTCAGTTTTCAGTTATTTTGATATTTATCATAAGCCCTTCGTAAACTTCGGATTTCACAAGGGGCCTTAGGACAGTTAACATTATTTGACTTCTGGCCTCACTGTATCTCTGGTTTTCTGCCGTTGTCTTTAGGGTTGGAGACTGAATCACGTTGATAGACTTCCAAGTTTCAATTCAATTGATCTTATGAAATAAGCTTTATTAAAGTGTCTATATGGAATTAAGTCATTTTCGATTTCAAAAATTCTTACCTCATCTACTTTTAAGCTTTGATTTAACTTTAATTGAAGTCGACTTTCACAATTTTCACTTCTCATTTTAGGTGAGTCCTATAACCAGAATTTACATGCCATTCGCTCATAACATAAATGAAAAAAACAATTGGTTAAAATCTCTTTAAAGAAACCACTTAAGTAATTGTAAATTTTCTCACCACAGTGGAAATCTACACAGCTATTTGATTTGTTTGATCGTACTGCAATTACGCCTAAGTCAATGGAATTGTTTGAATTGAAAGTAAACAAAGTTATGGGTGCATTTGTTTATGACTTTGGTCTAGGGTTGCATATCAATAACAACCAGAATGATTTGACCAATTGGAGAAATGAAATAATAATAATCATCATCATCTGCGTCGTTTTAAATTGGAATCAATATTTAGTGTTTTTTTCAGAATGAAGGCGTCTCCATTCAGTTGAAGTATTTAACTATAAGTTAATTCATCTCACACTCCCAGTTACGGAAGACGGAATGTTCTAATGGTAATAATAAAAAAAATTTATTTATTTATTTCAAATGGCAGGCTTTATGATATTTATCATTAGCCCTTAAACTTTGACTTCAGCTTCCCTCAAGGGTGGGGGGGGGTACATTTATAGCAGTTAATTAATAGCAATTCATTAGCTGTCTTCTTGCTTCCCAGTATCTTTGGCTTTCCGTACTTGTCTTTAGGGCTGGACACCGAATCAGGTGGGTCTTATCCATTTCCTCCTGTAGGTTACATAGAGGGCATGTGGGTTGAGTGTATAATCCCAATCTGTGAAGGTGTTTTGCCAAGCAATCGTGTCCGCTGACGAGGGCGATTTTTCTTATAGCCTTTTTTAAAGCTAATCATGATAATTGATAGACTTACCTCCACATGGTGCACCCTGGACAACGTATTTTCTTACGGCAAAAAAGTCTATCACTCGGCATAATAAAAATATTAGAAAGAGAAAAAACTTCTTTTAATTTCAATATGACGACGATGCCCGAAGAGTTGAAAGTTGGTGAGAATGCAGGCGAGTTTGGGGGAAATCTGTGTTTAATTAGGCCAGTGATCAGCTTAGTGGGATATCATTATAGCAATATCGATTGACTTGCTACTAAAGTAAATTACTGCAGAAAATCAATGGCACTTATTGAAGATGACTCAGTCTAGTTCCTACTGAAGAGGACTTATGCAACCTGCAAACTCCGGGTGAACTTGAACTTATCATCTAGTGGGAAAGGCAGATATAAAGCAGAAATTTTGCATAAAAATAGACGGTCGATTTTGCAACGTCAATATTAACTCAATTTAGTGGTTCAACAGGGAAAGTAATTTAGAAAAAAACAGCAAAAAATTTGTAAGGAAATAATTTTTCATCGAAGGAGAAAAGTGTTTTGATAACAACGCATCTATTTGTTACATGGTGCATTTAGGAATATTATTCAGTTTATAGAAAGAATTCAAGTAGAAGGAGAAATTGGAAGAAGGTCATGTTGTTATAAGAGGGATAGGCCTCTTCATTAAAATGAGTTGAAGACCATGTTTTAAGGTGATTCGAGGACAAATATTCAAAATATCATTATGAAAATGTTAATTTCTTAGTGTTAGAGATAACTTTGACAGTAATAAGAGGAAATAAGAGGGAGTGACTGGTAAATGGAAAACTTAATATAATAAAAGTTTCATCATGTCCGTCAGACGATAGTCTTTTCTGTAAGAAGTTGTCCTATAGGACGCTTGAACGGACTTCCGCATCAAAGTTCATTTCATTCTCTCAACTTCCCCTCAAGTGTGATGGAAGACTACTCAAGTTTCCCATGGAGCAGATGAGAATATTTATTATTTCAAATGGCAGGATTTATGGTATTTATCATTAGCCCCTTAGTTGACTTCATCTTCCCCCATGGGTGATGGAGACATATAGTAGTTAACTAATAGCAGTTCATTAGCTACCATCTGACTTCCCAGTATCTCTGGACTTCCGTCGTTGTCTTTATTGCTGGACACCGAATCAGGTGGGTCTTCTTCATTTCATCTTGTAGGTCACATAGGGGATATTTTGGTAGAGTGCATACTCCTAATCTGGGAAGGTTTTTTGTCAGTGTATACTCCCAATCTTTGAAGGTGTTTTGCCAGGCAATCCGTCCGGTACGTAGTCTAAACTCAGCAACGGCTTCGATTCTTGGCCAAGTAGTCTAAACTCAGCAACGGCTTCGATTCTTGGTAACCGTGTCACGTACGTAGTCTAAACTCAGCAACGGCTTCGATTCTTGGCCAAAGTTAAACTCAGCAACGGCTGTTTCTCCTTTGTTCGAGCTTTAATTTCGTTGCACCTTGAAGTCTTGAATTCTCTCATGATTAAGGTCTTCATTGTGTGGGAAGACATCGGCCCGTTTATGCCTTACCAAATTGTGGAATTGGAAGTAGTTGAGTTTGTCATCCGTAAGGTTTGTTTCCATGATTGAGAATATGACTATATCATAGGTATGTAGGATTCTCTAAATTTGGATCTTTTGCCCTGTGACATCCCTCCATCATTCCACTGAAGGATCTATAGAAGTTTTGATTCGCCCTGACAAGGACGATTTCTCTTATAGCTTCATTTCAAGCTGATCATAATAATTTGAAGTCAAATGTCGAGTAATAGACTTTAAGTATATGTTGTCCAGGGTGCACCACGTGGAGGTAAGTCTATCGCGCACCCCCTAGCAGATAAGGTTTGATATATGTCACCGCTTTCACTTCGCGATGAAGCAGTTGAGAATGCCACTTTCATAAGAGGAATTTGACCTCATCGGCTTAAAGCGGCCTTTCACTGTGCTGAGAGAAAAAAACACCGGCTTTCTACAGTACAGTTTCCCTCAGGCTTCCAACTTTTCAGGTTTTCAACTTTTAATTCTCTTTATATTTGGCACACGCAGAATTACTAAGGGTTAAGTGAAAACAACTTTTACTTCACTTTCTAAAATAACCAACCCAGTGAACACTTAGAAATTCTACATCTGTCAAATAAACCGAAGAGAACAAAAAACAAATCTGCAAATCTATTCAAGATTCAATACCATCAATCAATTAATATAAAATTAAAAAATAATTATACACTCAATATAAAGGGTGAGGAATAAGGACCGGGCAATCATGAAAATCAGTGTTTAGAATTCGTCGTGGAACGGATATTCAGGATGTTCGGACGTGCTGAAAGGTAGAAAAAAGGCTTCGCTGAACACATGATGCTAGAAATCTTTAAATTTATATTCGACCGAAAACTTACGCTTCCATTTTGAACAGGCGAATGTTCATACCAGAAGTGTTAAGCTCGTTCATCTCCTCATTAGTCAGCTCGAAACCCAAAACCTGCGATGAAAAGATTAGAAACGCCACTAAGAAACAAGAGAAAAAAGCAACAGCCAAATAAAAGGAGAAAACCTACATCAATGTTGGTCTGAATTCTCTCGGGAGTAACACTCTTGGCGATAACAATCAAATTTCTTTGCAGACCATGACGAATCAGAACTTGGGCAGGAGTAACTTTGTGCTTATTCGCGATCTCAACAACAGCCTCCAGTTGAAACAGCGACTTAACGTTTTCCCTACAATAACACAAACCACGGTGATTTTCTAGAGCCTTTGAAAAAATTAAACGTAAACAAGATTTACTCACTTGATGACACCAGGGGAGCCAAAAGGAGCATAAGCTTCAACCTGAATGCCTTTCGATTGACAGAATTCAATCAACTTGGTGTTAAGCCAGTGAAGATTCACTTCAATCTGATTAACTGCTGGCACTATCGTTCCATGCTCGATGATACGTTCAATTTGGCGTTTATTGAAGTTTGACACGCCAACAGACTTCGCCAGTCCAGCTGAAACCAACTTTTCCATTGCTTTCCAGGTGTCTTCAAGTTTGCGATTTTCCAAAATAAATGTCTTTGGGTCATTAGAATCAAAAGTAGCTCCCTCTGCGACTCGAAGTGGAACAGGAAAGTGAATAAGGTAGAGATCCAGATACTCAAGACCAAGGTCTTTCAATGTTTCTTCACATGATCTTTTAACGTCTTTAGGGTCATGTCGATCACAAAAGAGTTTCGAAGTGATAAAAATGTCTTCGCGTTTAAGATTGTACTCTTTCATGGATTCTGCAATGGCCTGACCTACTTCTTTTTCGTTGCCGTATATCATTGCGCAGTCAATATGACGGTAACCTGAGGCAAAAGCGGCTTTCACGGCATTAACCACATCAACTTTCGGAGCCTTTTTAATAAGTAAATTTGCATATGGAGCTTACATCAAGTGTTCCGAAGGAAAGTTGAGGAATTTCATGGCCACTATTAAGTTTAAGAGCTGGGCGTACAGGCATTTAGAGCGGAATATCGGCAAACGTAATAGCACGAGTGGGTTGGTTAAGCTAAACAAAAAGGTCATTATTTCTTATATTTGATAGGTACACAATGAAGAAGATGAAACAAATATTAAGACATAATTATTTAAAACTATCGTTTTAACGACACTTGAATGATACATTGGATTCTTGTAGTTTGTTTTTGTAAATAATTGCATATATTATAACTTATCGATAATTTGCACAATTTTGACACGCGTCATATATCGTTCTTGCCAAAATCTTTCCTTTAACTCTTTCCAAAAATTTTGAACGTCAATTATTTCGAATCAACTAAGTATCTATTCTTAACTACTTTCAACGCCATTAAGAAGAATGTGACCAAAATTTAAGTGTCATTACCTAAAGTATCATTTTAAGTAGCCCTGGTTCTGTTTGCATTTGTAAACGTATTTCTTTTTCTATGTTTTGTCGTTGTTTTTGCTATTATGGCATATATATTTACAGAAAATTGTCCTTTTACCAATTCAGTAAGTCAAAATATCAATTTCTTCAAACTTCTTCAATACCCATGTTAAACCATTTTAAGCAAAAATTATATTATTATATGTTTAGTAGGTTTAAATTATACGTTACTGTAAGCTTAAATTAATACTCAGCCGAATATGATGGAAATGCATTATTAAATACACCGAATCAATCTTTGCGCTTTCATTGGATGGTATAATTGAAATAATTTACTTTTGGGTGTATTTGAAATAATGACAAAATTGCAGAAACCTTAATTTACGTATTTCTCCTTTTAGAATTTGCAATAACTTAAAGTATTAGGACGAGAATTGCTGCAATTGAAGTAGCAAGAACAGTGAGTTTTTTACAATATGTAAAGCGCATGAAACACAAGCCAGTTGTGTATACCTAGGTTGTGGTTAACAACCAACAATGGGAATTACACGTTTCCATAACTTGCAACGAGATTATGAGTAAGACATAGTGAAGAGAATAAAGCCAAAGAGGAATCGAAGGGCATGTGGCTGAGAGGAGGCAATTTGTGAGTGTATGTGACAAGCAAGTGTCTACAAGAGTGCAGATCGAGAGTGTTTGTTTGTGAGTGATAATGCGAAAGGTGTTTAAATCGGTCATTTGAGCAAGGACACGAATATAGGTACGAGGATAGATGCCATTTTGAGTGTAACGTGGTAGGGAGGACACATAGGGAATCGTTGACCTCGTCAAGACTTGTCCAACTCCGCATTGAGGTATGTTGTAAAAAGAGTGACTATGAACCAATGTTCATGGAACCTGTGACTGAGGGGTAAATTTTTAAAGTGCGTAGTAGGTCATCCTTCAATTCCATCTTTTCATTTGCCTCCTCCACGCAATCTACCTGTCCACATTCTTCGTAGGTACATGTTTGTGGAAGCAAATTATTATTTACCGAAAACTAACTACTGATAGCCGGAATCAGGTCATGGCTTGAGGGTGGATATTGTGATCATGATAAACCACAGAACCTAATTTACTTTCAAGATATGTGCAACTCCCATGTGAACGTGAATCGCAGGTTTAAAGTAGGATCGATAACGACGAAGCATTATTTTAGGCATGAAAAGTGGCCTTGAAGGCTCTGTGAAAAGGGGATTGGCGACAAACACTTAAAGACGAAGTCACTTGGTGCAACAATCAATCAAGAATTGTGAAAATTAAATACATAATGAGCTTGAACAGGGTTAGCAAATGGTAATAGTATTTTAATTAGATCGCTTAAATAACTGATCGATTGTTACTACTCAAATATATTTCACAATAATTTGAAAAATGCACGTATATATATATATATATTAGGTTGGCAACTAAGTCATTGCCGATTTCAAATAAGAAGGCAAATTTGGAATTTTTGTTTAAAAATATAACTTTATTCAATTAGATATTGGCCGTTCTTGTCGATGACCTTTTCCATCGTTCTGGCAGAGTAACAATTCCCCGTTCGTAAAATGTCTGGTCTTTGCTACTAAAAAACTGAATTAGGTGTGATCCGACATCATCCGCGTTGTTAAAAATTTGACCATTTAAAGTGTTTTGCATGGAACGAAACAAATGATAATCCGAAGGCGCAAGGTCAGGGCCATATGGTGGGTGTGACAAAATATCCCAACCCAGTTCCAATAATTTTTGCCGAGTAACCAAAGATGTGTGGGAGGGGCCTTGCGTTATCATGATGGAAAACAACACCCTTCCGATTTGATAATGCCGGCCGCTTATCTTCAATTGCATCCTTCAGTTTTTCGAGTTCTTCAACATACACATTTGAATTTATCGTTTGGTTCTGCGGCATGAGTTCAAAATACAAAATTCCTTTGTGATCCCACCAGACTGACAGCATAATCTTTTTTGGGGGTCGAATCTCTGCTTTTGATACTGTTTGGGCTGGTTGATCTTGCTTCACCCATGATCTCTTGCGAGTAGCGACATTGTTATAAACTATCCACTTTTCGTCGCCAGTAACTAGGTTCTTCCTTGGAAATGGATCATTCTCATTGCGTTTCAGTAGCGGCGAATCACAGATGCTAATCCGTTGCGTCAAATGAATTACCTTTAACTGGTGAGGGATCCATAAATCAAGTTTCTTGACATAACCAAGGATTTTTAATTTTCTTTCAATGCATGTATGCGACACATTGAGCTTCTCTGCAATATCTCGTGTTGTGCTGTGACGATTTGAATCGATAATGGCCTTGATATGAGTTTCATCCACTTCGACTGGGCGGCCAGATCGTTGTGAATTTTTCAGTGAAAAATCACCGGAACGAAATCTTTCAAACCAATTTCGACACTGCCTTTCTTTTAAGGCTTCATCTCCATATACGGCACATAACTTCTTTTGTGGTGCGATGCGTTCTTGCCTTTTCGGAAGTAATACAATAAAATGTGTCGGAAGTGCNAAAATATATATATATATATATATATATATATATACTTGATTTACTTGAAAAATGGCTTGCAATAGGTGAAATCCCACTATCGTTGCCCAACTGCCTCGTTTACTCAATAGAGCCTTCATAAAACTAAATTAACAGATCAACTTTAACTTTACAATTTGAGTACCGGGTCAGTTTTGACTGTCTTTACCCCATGGAGGTGTGTGCATGTCAAAGCAGCACATTTTTATATTACTTTTTCAACTCTGGTTTCAAGACTGAAATATCCCCACTTGGGTGAAAATGGACACATCATACATCCAACTCCTATGTTAGAAATGAATTCTTTTTGGAATGTAGTGCACGAAATTCGTCCTCTCAATTCTGAGACACAGTGAATCGTAATTGGAAAATTAACAACGTTAAAATAACCAATATGTAAACAAGAAATGACTTCCAACTCCAGAGAAACCATAAGACTTATAAGCGCCATGTTAGTTTAGGAACATCAAGTGGAAGGTGTTCACACGAGTTCTTTTTGGTTTATGTCGACTGATAAAATGACCCAGTTGTATGTTCCAGATTAGTACAGTTGAAGAGGTGGTAATCTGCTGGTCGCAACGGTAGCCTAGTAAAGTGTCGCAACACCCAAAGAAGTGAATCAAAATAAGAGGAATAATAAATAGCGTGGAGGCAGTAAATTCAGCCGACATAACGATTTAATAATCAACTTTAGTTACTCAAAGCGAAGTAGTAGCCGTCTTGCTTATGGGTTGCCTGTTTGAGTCAACATTTTGAGTATGCAATAGTGAACAAGATAGTGCTATTTTGCAATAAGTTAAAGATAGCAAAGTTGCCTCATGACGGTATTCTGAGAACCAAGCTTTACCACAAACATTAACACACACACCCCCCCCCCCCCCCCCCCACAATTGGAAAAGTAATATTAGGTTCTCGGTGAGAAATAAAATCTGACTAACACTTCGTGGTTATGGTGAAGTGACTCGTGTTGAAGAAGCTCTATGTTTAAAATTCACAGATTGTGGCGGAATGGAGGGTAATTAAGTTGTAGCTTCTGACTGAATTCTTGTCCTTGATATCCAGTAATTATTGGCCATTTGTGACCTGATTATCTCATATTCGGGTGCAATGCACATGTCCTCAATGACTTTAATCAACTCTTTTTTGCTCTGTGCAAGCGGATGCTCAATGGGTTTCATTTATCCCATGGCAAATTCGTGAATGTCTGAAGTTCAAAACGCTTTATCCTGTTTTAAAGCACTAATTCAATTACGAGTCAGCAAACAACCTGACCACCTGTGAAATTTATTAATAATTACAATTTAAAATCTAAATTTAAATAGAAATGTTCTTTTTCCACTAGATTTAAATGTTTATATAATGCTTACCGACTAGCACACTCTCAGTTCAACCTCCAAAACTTCCCTTATCCACAGTGAGTACTGCGTAAAATGTCACGAGTCAGTATTTAAAGAGAAAGTGGAACGAAGTTGGAACAGTTAACTGGTTTCGAATCTCAAGATACTCATCTCTCATCATTTGACCAATCATAAAAGTCCTCAATCAGAATTCCCAACTGGATAGTCGAAAATATTGCATACCTCATGTCATGTCTTCGGTGTGGGATGAATTGCTAGTCTCTCCAAAGAGGAGTTAGATTGAAGGCCGTAGTCCATTCATTGCACAACTTAAACTTTATGGGACAGTGACTGACATCATCACCCAAAATGTGTGAATTAAATTATTATTAATTGATAACCCGAATTGCCACAACAAAGATACTCCATCTCTCACCTTGACATGAAAGGATATTTTCCATAATAAATAAGAATGACGTTCCGAAGAATCCAAAAAACCTGAAAAAAACATATTTGTTGATAAGTAAGATTTAAAATAGATCAGGGTGTGTAAAATTATATTTTACCATGAATAAATTACGGGAATGTAAACTACACAACATGAATTCATTAAACTTCTGCCTATGTAAAGAACTCGACTGCAATATTTGTACGTGTATTACTTCAAATTAGCATAATAGGCATACATATATAGATAATACATTAATTGCATATATTGTATCTGCAATAAATGCCCTTCGCTAAGAAAGCTTCGTTTTTCCAATATTCTTGGAGTGACAAAGTTAAGCTAAAGGCGTAACTGACAGTGAGCATAGCTTTAGTGAAAAAATGTATCAAGAGTAAACTATCCCATTTGAGAGGTATTCGAATCTTACAGAAAATACGATTTCTTGAAATAACTTATTACTAATCTGATAATGATGGTTTTGAGGTACTGTATATGTATATATACAATTGGAACCAGAATTGGCCAGATTTCAATTAATCGAGTCTAAGTAATACCTGGTAGACAACAACAATTACTTTTGCGAAAAATTGAAAATTAAATAATGTGTCTATTCAGAATAACGAGGTTATATTACTAAGCAGATTCGTGTGATTTATTATAAAAATTCCATTTTAAAAATTGCAATGTTTTTTATTGTTGAACGATAACACATGATCACTGATAATTCACTTAAAATATATATCATTAAAAAGGCACAGGATTTATAACCGAATATCAGAAACTTAATAGCAAGCTTTTAAATTAGGTTTAAACAACAGAGTACCGAATAAGTAGCTGGTGTTCCGAATAGTACTTGCATTAGAATTCTTTTAAGTAACGCCTTGAACAAATGGCCTTTTTGTTTAAGCTCTCACGTGTAACAAACCACTTTTTAATTATCACAAATCGAAGGATGAGTCTTGTCCCTTCTTTAAAACTCAATAGTGGGTACCAAATCCCTCAAATAGCTTTTGGAACATTTGATGTAAGTACTACATATGCTGCATATTTTTTCAAAGGCTCCAAAAGACGATGTTATTAAATCAGTTGAATATGCAATTGATACTGGTTTCCGACATATCGACTGCGCCATATTCTACAATAATGAGGTGGAGGTTGGACAGGCTATTGCTGCAGGAATGAAGAAGAACAACCTGAAACGTGAAGAGTTATTCGTAACAGTATCTTGACCTTTATCTGATACATTGGCCCATGTCCTTCCAACACAAGAAAGACGTTCCATTTGATGCTATGGATTCCAACACCCTGATCTATGAGCACCACAAAATTGAAGATACCTGGAAAGCTATGGAGCAGTTAGTGACTGCCGGTCTCGTAAAATCCATTGGTGTCTCAAATTTTAATAAAAGACAGATTGAGAGGATTATTGCCCAATCCAGTATCGCTCCTGCAGTTAATCAAGTTGAAGTAAACCTTCATTGGCTGAATGAAAAACTTATCGAATTTTGTCATTCCAAGAACATTCACGTCGAAGCCTATGCTCCCCTAGGGTCTCCTGGCTTTATGAAGTGAGTTCTTGACTTAAAGTCTTTTAAAAATGTTGGGCGTTTTGAAAATAATGATTCTTTCCATCGACGTTTTAGGGGCCAAGTACAACCACTGGTACAACAACCGAATGTGGTTGAAATTGCTCAAAAGCACAACAAAACACCCGGACAAGTTCTTCTTAGACATGCCCTCCAACGAGGTATCGTAGTTCTTACAAAGAGTGTCACACCAGATCGAATAGCATCGAATTTCGAAGTACCTATTTATTTTACTAATTTGTAATTGTAAAGGTCTTTTCTTGAAATTCTTCAAGTCCATTTACCCATTGTAGGTATTTGATTTCATGTTGACTAAAGACGAGATGGAGAAACTCAATAAAACAGGCATGAATCAGCGTATTTTCCACGTTCCTGCGTAATGTTCTAATTCGTTAATTGAGATGTGTTAAATCTTGCCAAAATATTTATCCATTTTCTTCTAATTGCAGGTTTGCCAAGCATCCAGAATATCCGTTTCACGATGAATACTAATGTTGCAATCCTTTTCAGTGTTTTTACGTTGACCTTTTACTAGATTCTTTATTGATTTTCATCCTCAGTAATTGCATATGTATTTATTGGCCTAATAAAGACCTTAAAATTTGACTTCTTAAAGGTGGCATATTTTTATCATGGGCTTCATTTTCAATTTACTGGAATTGGTTCTATCCCTATGGAAACTAATATTTCTGGCAATTATTTTAAATCAATAACAAATATAAAAGTTTTTAAGAGTGGTGAAAACAAGTTTTGGATGTGGGATTCTATTCTTGTTTGCTCGAAGGTAATCACATCAAGGCCATCCGAGATTCTGAGGTGTAAGTGCGCTTACGAATTCACTGGAAACTTTTAGTTCCAGGTGCTTAGCGTTGAAGTGGACAAAGTTGAAGTACTTGCATAGCTATTCACTTGTGATTTCCAGAAATAGCATTGACTCCAGAGTTCATGGTTAATGACCATGCTAACTCACAGTTTTTTTTCTTATAGAAACTGCTTCCTCATCATAATACTCAAAAGTAAAAGCACAACGAAATAATGATAATAGAGAAGTAGCACAATTCCCCTAGACACCGTTGACTTTGTTCGATGTGCAATATCGAGGCCGAGTGCACTCATCTTGTGAAACCATGAGAGCGTTCTAACAGACCATTTCGTGAAATAGCATATTCGTCAATCTCACATCTGGTTTCACTATTGCCACGCCTCGAGATTTATATAAACATGAGAACAAAAAGACTATAATCCTATTAAAATGCATGACTCCAATTCAAATTCCCTTCATTTTCATTGTTCTTAAGTTACAATCAAATAACTTAGCAGCTAAAAAGGGAATTGAAGCATTGAACGGGATTCTTAACAATTTTTGTGGTTTCTCAGGTATTTCATTTAAATAATATTTCTTAATACCTTGGAACAAATTCAAATAAAAAATTTATTTATTTCAAATGGCAGGCATTTTGATAGTTACCATTAGCCCTTTAGTTGACTTCGGGCTTCAGAGAGGGGAGGAACATCAAAGTGAGAAAAATTCGATAGGGGAAAAGAAGAGCGATTCACAGATGTAAAAGAGACAGATGGACACAAAGGCAGAGAAAAGGCTAGATGAGTACTGTGGAAGGGGTCGAGTGTGGCATACAGTGGGGTCATGGTAGTTTGAAGTCAGAGGTCAACTACCAGTTAATAGACATTTTTGCTGTATGAATATACGTTGCCCAGGGTGTACCACGTGGAGGTAAGTCTACCTCACACCTCTCAAATAAAAAATTATCCATTCTAAGACGAATACTTCATGGTTTTTATTAAAATTGTCGTCGGCCACCAGATTCTGTGAAGAGAACAACTCAGTGAGTTAATTTTTTCTTAGTATGTAGTTTGTTCAATGCCCTTTCTGACTAATAATTTTCACTTTATTGTTGAGGGAGAAAATGTTCAACCACAAAGCAGACAGAGAACACATCAGAAAGACACTTGATGATGCTGACCTTTGAGCAGGGCAAGTAAACCTCTAAGTCAAATTTACGGTCAAGCACCTACTTGACCTGCCAATGGTGATTTTGGTTTTGAAGGCTCTGCAGGGATAATAGGGACTTAAATTAGGCACCAGAATGAAGACGACTTGCAAACTTTTGGATAGATCAGAATGGATTCTTTGGTTGAAACAGATTCTGGCTTAACAAAGGAAGAAATATGGACGAATTTTATATGTCCATAGGCGATTGTGCAATTGTACAATCGCAATTGAAATTATTTTGCTATAACACCAAAATATCTGCGGAGTTTGAAACGCTGTCGTGTATGAACAAAGAAATCTCATGTACACTCTGACACACTCGAAAGTGTGGAGGGCTACGTGCTGCGTAAGGAGCAAATGTGGTCGGGAACTCAAAGACTTATCACCCAACCTCCAATCAAAAGTCCCTACATGATTTAACAAACTCTTCTTTGTACTTTAACGACTAAGCTCTTTGACAAAAGCACATCCCAAATAGATGTGCTCATTGCAATACATCTGTTCCCTCTGTAGATATCTAGTTCTGGGAGCCATTGCAAACTGGGAGATCTTGCTGCAGAGAGATTACTGAGCATAAGTGAAGACTTACTTTTGTAGCAATCCACTTCACCTCTCACGTTGGAAAGGGATGTAGGCTGGAGGGCTGAGATGAGTATTACGGGACAACGCTTTATTTTAATGTGTATCACATATTCGGAGAATTGTCTGGAAAGCAGAAAGCGATTGGACACCCAATAACATAGTGGAGTGTTTTTTTTCAACATTCAGGCAAACCAAATGACTATTGAATTGCAACATAAAGAAATTGAGTTTGCGTAAAATGAAAATCAACATCCGTTGGGACCCTCACCTTCCTAACTTCGAGTCTAAGCTCAAAATACTGAACTTTTGGCAATGACAATGACAAACGGAAACATTCATTTATCAAAACGGGCTCTGAACAATGTCACCTTGTTTCCCTTGTAAGTCATGTTAAGTCTCTTGTTTGCATCCAATACTCCCTTAAAATTTATCTCTCAAAGTAAAGCCAAACTTTTCTTTCTTCTGCCTGTCAAAGGTATGGCAATAACCATACCTTCATCAATTCATTTAACATGTTCACTCAGTCTCCCATCTTCTAATTTGATGTACCCGGGCCCCCAAATATTCCATGGCATTGGAGGTTTTGCGATTCGTAGAAAATAATAATCATTTACATTCCGTATACTGTGACATATTAATGACAAGTTCTTTAACCGTTTTTATCTAACTAGTGCTTTGATATGGATATCGACATAGTAGTTCAAAATAACTAATGGCGATACACATTAGGGATTATATTAGTAGGTTGTCACATATTTGCTAAACAAATATGTATAAAACAGTTAGTTGTAAGATATTTTTCTTACTGAATAAAGTATGGTTAATTAATATTATAATTTTGTTAGTGAGGTGTGGATATTTCCGCTTCCAATTAGCTCCGAGGTAAATGGTCATCAATAGTTATCATTTGGTGTGGGATAGACTTACCTCCACGTGGTGCACTCTGGCAACGTATTCTCATACGACAAAAAATCTACCAACCAGTTGACTTCTGATTTAAAATTGCCATGACTGGTAGTTGACTTCTCACTTCAAACCACCATCACCCCACTCATTCCACCACTTTCACAGTACTCATCTTACCTTTTCTCTGCTTTCGTGTCCATCTGTCTCCATACATCTGTCAATCACTCTTCTTTCCCAGCTCGCGAAATTTTTTCGCTACGGTATTCCTACCTGCCGTGAAGCCCCGAAGTCAGCTACAAGGCTAATGATAACTATCATAACGCCTGACATTTGAAATTAAAGATATTTTTTCATTGGTAAATTTGACTTTTAAATCAATAGCGAGTAAACAAAACCATACAAAGACCTTGTTTCTAAGCCCTTTCAAATCGCATTATTTGTGTGGCGCCTGTTCTTAATCAAACTAAGTTGTGAATTCGGAAAGAAAACTAAATCAGATCAAACACCTAGAATCACTGTAATTGAGCACTTGAATTCGCCGTGTGCAAGGAGTGGTGAGCGATTGACTTATCTCGACGTGGTTCACCCTGGCTAACGGTAGAAGTCCATAAACCTGACAGTCAACTTCCGACTTCAAACTACCATGACCCAACTGTATGTCATATTCGACCACTTCCACAGTACTCACCTCACCTTTTTCCACTTTTCCTACATCTCTACCTTTGTGCCTGCATCTGATATCTTAGAATTTCTCTTCTGCCCCCCCCCCCCAATCCACTTTGTGTGCCAACGATACTCCTCCAATCCGTGAAGCTTGTAGTCAACTAAATGTCTACTGATGAATATTTTAATGCCTACCATTTTGATATATATATATATATATATATATATATATATATATATATATATATATATATGCGTCAAGAAGTTCATTTATTTGGTGTTCAAAATACATGATGGGCCATCGCAATTAATGAGAAGATGCGTACCAATGATATTTGCTGATTACAAACTACTTTTGGTGATTGAGAAAGTACAATGTTTCTACAATATTAACAATGACAACTATTCTTAGTACTACTAAAAGCACCTTCCCCGTCCACCCACAACCCTCCCCTCCCGCTCCCAGTTTTATTAATTCAAAACCATCTGATTAGGAGAAATAGCAAACCAGTTCGAGGCAAGCAATTGGCTGTGTTATGAAGGCATAGCACCACAGACCTCACATTATTAGAATTTCAGAAGATTGAAAGTGTTCTCTCTGCGATTTGCTTTAGTTCCACTTCATTTTTTGACTCCCAGGTGCACCGATGGGTTTATTTTCTTCATTTCCAGTAAAGGTCGACTAGTCATCTACTGTGGCAAGTGGTCATGTCCCTTCAGTGCCTTAAATAGATGAAGTCTCTTTATTTAAATTAAACAGTTAACTTGGCAAAAGTGAGTTGGGTCAATGTCACTTAATGACATTTTTAAACATTAGGCGATATAGAATGAACTATTTTGACAACAGGGTTTACGAGGAAAATTCAAATTCAGTTCATCAATTACAATAAAAACTTCGATGCGCCACTAAGAAAGACACCATTCCATTGACACAAAAGACAATAACAACTGAACCAAAATATTTTCCACTGCATGAATGAAGCATCCAATGCGAAGCCTCAATCAATCGTCATTGTACCAGATATAAAAGTAGGTGCATCGCTTAAGTGAAGCCATGACAGAAATCGTCTCTTCCGATTTCTTCAATGTAAACTATAGCATTTAGGGATTTGTTACACACTACTGCTACTAAATAGTCAATAAATAACTTCTTAAATCAAGTCAGATGATCATGTTACAAGCAAAATAACTAATTTCCACTAAAAATGCATTCATTTATGAATAGAATAAAGCAGATTATTTAAAAAATCGAAACGTAAATCGAAATTGAAACATTGTTCATTTTGTTCGCAATTTGGGATATGCCATGAGTGCCAAAATGGTGAAATGG